GGCAAATAATGCTTGAAAAGGATTGTCGCCTGAATGTGATTTCATTCAGGAAGCATTTCTGAAAATTATCAGTAAAGAAATTTGTCGGGTTAAATTACCAAAATTACCTTACCAAAATTACCGTTACCGCGGTAACGTTACCACACTTTAATCTCTAGTCTCTACAGTCTTAAGCTCCTCGAGGGTACAGGCCTAAAGACTTTCTCTCCAAGTTGGGTCTGACTTGCTACAGTACAACTGAGATCCTAAGGTGAATGTCATGCTGTAGTGTAGAACCCCCACCTAGACCTATGGAAACTAAGCTCCTCGAGGATACATTTTCATAGGGCTGTTTGGGTACTATTGACAGCGTAGGTCTTTCCCTAAAAATAGGTATTCCAAAGGAATGTTAAATGATGGCCCACCAGAGAAAGAACATTTACTCTGATCTATTTTGGGTAAACCCCATTTAATTATCTTTTTCATAAATTAAGGTGTAACAATAGATGTATTGTAAGAAAGATTTTTTCCAGGTAATGTCATCAGAAGGATGTCCTTCTGATGAGTCCTAACAAGGACGAAACGCGTCAAGATTGGCACGGGAAGCCTGAGTCCACTGTTCAATGGGTCGATTCCCAAACAGGACCGTTGTGTCTCTCAATTCATGTTGGTCATTACCTGAAAAAAACTTTCCTAAAATTTTCATTGCCAACGAAAGCTCAGACCAATCAATGTAGTTCAACGCCGGTAGGAGTATTTGCCCTCGGAGTAGTTGTTTCTGACTGGTCAACGAAGTTCAATAGATGTATTAACTACTAGTGGTGAAATCTTTCCTTTTCCCTCATAATCCATTTTCAGGATGAACCCTTAGCCGACGCCAAGTATAGATAAAGTGGTGGCACCGCGCTGACCACAAACAACCTGAGGTAGAGGCGCCATCTTTCCTGAATCACCTTGATGACCTAGCCAAAGAGACGAGAACCACCCCAGAGGACTGAAAGTCAAGAGGGCCACTAACGAAAACAGAAGAGTAGGAAAACATAGGTGATCACAATCAAATTGAACATTCCTTGCGAAATTTAAGTACAATAACGGATTTGGAACAAGGGAACAAAACAACAGCTACAACAATCAAAATACGAACAACTCAAGAGGCTGACAGAGCGAGGGGGCAACGCAAAACAATTTTTCACGAAGTAATAAGCCAAATAACCAAGCAAATAGCGACTCCTACTAAAGAAAGCAAGATAACACAAGTCAATTCGGGCAAAACAGTCAACCTCCGAGAAATTCCAGAAACAACCAGGAATTTTACAACTGCGGTGAATACGGCCATTTTGCGGGCATTTGTAGACAAAGACACCCAAACACACAAGGATGGCAATTAGAAGCCCCAGCCAATACGGGCATTCCATTCCTCAACATAAAAATACAACTCCAGTCAGATGGCAATAATAGACACTGGTTCTCAAAATAACATAATAAATCCGGACTTGAGAAAATCCAACATTAAGAAACTTATACAGATGTTGGCAAAAAACAAAAAGCTACACACTAGAACAGAACATAGAAGCAATTTGTATACAACAGGAAGTATGGGGACTAAAAATTAGAACCTGGAGATCTATGAAACAGATAATCAAAGAAATATCCAGAGACACCAACATAAAAGTCCTGATACAAAAAAATTAGAAAAATATACAAGAACCAGAAAATATAATGTGCAACATAACTATAGATGAGCAACCCAGCAGCTTGAAACTAGGAGTGACCGAGGACTACTCCCTGAATGCCCAGGAATCAAGAATCATAGAACTATATCTCACAAAAAATATAAGAGAAAACGTAAAATACCGCTGCAAATAGAATACCGACATACTAGCCAAAAAAGCAATAACTTAAGAATCACACATATACACAAATGAGGAATCATTATTTATAAAAATCAAGTCAAATCGTTTAACCAATATACACAGAGGAACAACAAGAAGAATATCAGAAGAATACAGAGATATCGTGCAATATGCTAGAGTTTAATAAAGATAGAGTTACAATGGAAGACCATAACTTAGTAAACATAAAGGACCAAAACACTAAAAAAGCATTACAAGACCTTTTAAATGAGTTCAATGATGCCTTCGCAAAATCTCCAAAGAACATGGGCAAGAAAACACAGAATGGAACCACAGACACCAGACCAGACCAATAAAAAGGCGCCCTTACAAAGTGTCACAGCTAGAAAGGGAAAAGATAGACGAGCAAATAAAGGAAATGTTAGAACATGATATTATCGGGCCATGTCACTCCCCATGGACAAGCCCAGTGGTGCTAGTAACCAAGAAAGAAGGATCTACAAAATTTTGCATAGAATATAAAAAAACTTAATAATGTGACGAAGAAAACAAATTATCCATCACCTCAAATTGATGACATATTAAGTAACCTGGGCAAAACGAGATATTTTAGTACCTTTTAGACATGTTCTCAGAATACTGGCAAGTGCCGAGAGGAAAATTCAAAACAATACACGGCATTCGTGGCACAAGGCCATGGCTTGTACGAGTTCGACGTCCTCCCATTCGGATTATGTAATGCTCCATCTGTGTTTCAAGAACTCTCGGATATGGTCTTTTGGAATTTGAAAATGGAAGGAAGTATAAGTGTATATGGATGACATTATCATTTTCTCAGAAACGGAAGAGGAACACATACAAAAATTAAGAAAAGTATTCCAGAGACTAAGAAAAGCAAAGCTTACCCTAAAACCCAGTAAGTGTACATATCTCCAAGAAGAAATAAAAATGTTGGCATTCACAGTAAATAGAAGCGGGATAAAACCAAATGAAGAAAAGCTAAATGCATTAAAGAGTCCCGAAACCAAGGAAGTTAAAGGAAGTACAAAACTTTTCAGGACTTAGTAATTTATGAAGATTTCTCCTCGATGGCCAGACCGTTGCATGAAGTTATAAGAAAAAATAATTTCAAATGGGGCCAGATCAAGAAGAGGCATTAAACATCTTTAAAGAAAAATTAACGTCAGCACCTCTATTACAACATTACAAACCCGACATAGGATGCACCCTACATACTGACGCTTCAATAAAGGAAATAGGGACAGTCCTTCTGCAAAAAGGAGAAGACATTGAAGACAATAATTTATACCCAGTTGCATATACTATAAGCAGAATTCTGTCAAACGCAGAACAAAATTACGCAATCACAGAGTTAGAGGTTTTAGCAGCAGTCTGGAGTCTAGGATACTTTAGACACCTAGTATATGGACGTCCTGTAGAGATAGTAACTGACCACCATGCACTATGTTGGTTGGACTCAATAAAAGAAAATAATAGGAGACTGGCAAGATGGGCCATTAAACTATCAGAGTACGATTACAAAGTGATTTACAAAAAGGGTAGCGCACACAACGATGCGGACTGTTTATCAAGGAAACCAATACCTAACGCATTATCACCAACTGAGGAAAAGGAAATAGACGAAATACCCATCTTCACCACAATCAGCAAAGAAGAAAAAATAAAAACATTTGCACTAGAAAGCACTAAAATTAGTAACTTACAAAAACAGGACAAAGATGTGGAAGAAATTATGAGAGCGGTAGAAAACCCAGATGACACAAATATCCCTATAGCAACAAGGAAAAGAGCGAAAAATTTTAAGACAATTAATGATACCTTATACAAAACTATGTAGTTATACAAACAAAGGATTAGAATACTTATTAGTGATTCCAAAAAGTCTAATAGGGGAGATACTGTAGGAAATGCACGCGGCACTAGCCGCAGGACATCTAGGACTAACCAAAACAATTGATAAATGTGGAAATAGATACTACTGGGTACTGGGTAGGGATGTTGAGAGATATCGAAAAGTACCTACATAAAAGGATGCGTAGACTGCCAAGCACGGAAAAGACAACCCTACAGAAAAGTCCCTGGTCCTCTGCAACCAATAAAAGTGGGATGCATTATGGACAAAGTGTGGATTGACCTTCTAGGTCGGTTTATGAGAAGCAATAATGGCCAAACAATGATAATAGTTGCTACTGATTATGCATCACGATATGCAATCACGGGGGCATTACCAAATGGAAAAGCAGGCCCAGTAGTAAAGTTTATATTGGAGAAGATTATTTCAATACATGGAGCACCAAGAACGTTAAGTGACTGAGAGAAAGTTTTTCAGTCGGAAATGGCGAAGGAACTTGCTCAAATCACGAGAATAAGAAACTAATTTACTACTGCAATACAGAACAAACAGATTGGTGTAGCTACGTGCCATTTGCCACTTTTGCTTATGATACAGCAATCCAGGATAGCACGAAGCTGGTGAGTTTCGCCAGGGAACCGACATTACCGTCGGAGGCAATGCTACTGAAGGAAGACGTGGTGACGAATATACTACAACTGAAATAAAAAGCCTTGAGTATAAGAGCCATAGCAGCAGAAAACATACATAAAAGCTGAAGGAAAGACAAAGTGAGGTTTGATAGCAAACACAGGGATTTGCAATTTGATATAGCAGACAAAGTTAAAAATTTTATACCAGTGAGGAAAGTGGGCCAAATTGAAAAGTTATTATTAACTGAATCTGCTGAGGCTTGTATATATTACGCGCACCGCAATGCAGTCAAGCAAAAATTAGTCTCTACAGCCTTAAGCTCCTAGAGGGTACAGGCCTAAAGATTTTCTCTCCAAGTTGGGTGTGACTTGCTGCAGTACGACTGAGATCCTAAGGTGAATGTCATGCTGTAGAAGCCCCACTCAACGCCCCAAACCTAGACCTTTCGTTTCCCCCCATAACCTCTTTTCAGGATAAACCCTTAGCCGACGTAGCCAAGTAGGTATAGATAAAGTGGTGGCACCGCTGACCACAAACGACCTAAGCGTGACAATACGTTGTCAACCCCTCCTGTCTTGAACCGCCACCCACCTCGACATTTTTTTTTAGATAGAGGTTAGATACCATCCCTAACTATATAAAAAAAGAGGTAGAAAACTTACATATGTTTCAGTGCTTCGTCTAAACAATTAGACACAAATACATGGAATACTTCAATAAATTCAGTCCGTCCCATACCAATGCCTTTGATAACAACTTTAAAGAGAGCTTGTTCGGTGTGTTCCTCCTCTCTTTGATCCAACAGTTCAAATAAATCTTTGTAAATGTTCACATACAAATAAGGCAATCTAAAATGAACATCGTATTCATTAAAAGACTTAAAATTAACAATGGGATATAAAATGATGTTACATTACTATGTTTATAGAAGAAAAATGATCAATGTAACTTCAATTTGACTAATCATGTCAATATCTTACCTAAATGGTAAATTTTTGTTTAAAGCCATCTCTATAGAAGGTCTATAAAACTGGAACAAGGCATTCAATGAGACAAGGGTTTTGATGATGTCATCTACCACTGAATAAACCCAAGACAAACTAAAAATTGCCGGTCTGTTATGTATATAATTTGGAACAATACTGCCTGATCCTCCGAAGCCACAAACTTGATTCCCGATAATTTCTAAAACCTATTAGAGGAAATATTGTTTAAAAATTTTATTGAAAATAGGTATGTATTTAAACTTACACTTAGGTTTTGATCGATCGTAACTTCTACTTCTTTACTGAGGAATGTTTCATTATCTTTTTTCAAATAATTGAAATACACTTCAACTACGTTGTCTACAAATGCATAATCTCTATCTTTGTACAAAACAGCTAATGTTATCACAATAGGTAAGTTTAGGAGTTTTTTCTCGATGAGTTTTGATAACCCAAAAGAACTTGCCATGTATTCAGTCTGAAATAAACATGTTATTAAAATGTTAACCCTTTTCACAAATTTTTATGGGAAATGTTGAAATGAGCACCTAAACACTATTATTTTAAGACCCCGTGCGGCATTTCCATTTGGTTTCAAAAATTAAAGTGATAGCAGTATTAGCAGTGATGCCTCTTACAAAATACATAATCCTGTTCACAATCCGATGTCCACAGGTGCAAGTAAATTTATCACCTTTCCCTATCAAATAGCATTAAAAGGTGATTTTACCTGTACCTACCTGTGGACATCGGATTGTGAACAGATAATATCTGAGAATTTTGTTATGGAATTTTTGGTTAGGATTAGGACACTACACTATTCAGTTATAATTAGTCCGCATAGGAGACTAAACTCCTCTATGTGCAAGGTGACAAAATTATCTATAGATGAAAATTTATTTATATCCTACTGAACTATTAAAACCATATAATACCTTGGTTACGATAATCATAAACAGGGTCTTAACTCCCAAGGGAGTTAAGGAAGGGAGTTAATGATATCATAACTCCCAAGGGAGTTAAGGATTTCCATAACTCCCGCTTTTACCTTGAATAGGTAACACTCTGACAAAAAATAGAAATTTTGATTTATGGCTTATTCCTTTATAAAAATAGACAGAATACAGTAAATTCAGTAGGATATAAAATTATCTATGTACCACGGGAATTATCAGGAGTTAATACCCACGGGCAATTGGTGTCCCTCGGGCCGGAGGCCCTCGGGACACAAACGTTGCCCTGGGGTATTAACACCTGCATAATTCCCTTGATACATAAATAACTATAATTCTAAAAATGCCCTAACACCCTAACAGCCAGTACCTATGCGTATATCGAGAACAAATAGGTACACAAATATTATCTGAAGACTTCACCCATAAAACAAAATGATATTAGAAGAAAACACTACTATTCAGTTTCTCAATAGGTATGTCTCGAGGTATGTACTTCAACTTTGCAAAAGGGTTCATTCAACTAGTAATTTCTAAAATAAAATATTTGCTTCAAGCTCATAAAAACTCGCAAGTACTTCAGGGTGTTATCATGTTTGACTTACCTCACTTTTTTTGAACGTCAATAACTTTTCATAAACCAATAAAAACGTTGTAAGCACAGCCATATAAACCTCCAAGCACTCATCAACTAAATATGTAAATTGATAAGGTAAAATTGGCTCTAATAAAAAGCTCCTTAATGCAACGACTGCCGAAGGTTCATTTAAAATCGTGCACCAAAATTGGTGGAAGTTGCAGTTTAGTAGGAACTCAAGTCCTTCAAGATACTGAATATTTTTTGTTATGAAGTTGACCCTTTCCTCTTCTTCTTCAGCTTGAATTATGGAAAACGGTTCAAATCGGTGCAAAAATGTTGGTGGTAACAATTTTCGGTCCAGTGCTGGAATGATTTCGGATTTGGTTTCAATATAGGTCCTTGCCATTTCCTCTGCACTATTATCACTATTGCCCTGAAATATCAGTAAATATGGTGTAATACTTCCTTGATAATTTATTAAGAGAAAGAGTGTTATAATCATAAGAATTGATTTCCAAAGGCCTATTCCTAAAATTGATACTAGGTGAAAAAAACAATTACAAAAAGATGCTTATTGAACATATCAGGAAATCAATAATCTAAGTAGTTGTGAAAAAATTGTATGGAGCAATATGGAATATAATACAGGGTGACCATTTGAAAACGAAACAGAGGTAATTATGGGCATCCCAAGACATTTAAGAAAAAACCTTCGTACCCGACGAATTTTGATTTAGGAAGGAACCATTTTTTTTTTTGGAATATTACCCCATCAGCCGAGGGTTAACAAGGGCCACCAAAATTTCAAATGGAATTAGGGGTCGAGTGATACCTTACTTTGAAGGTATTTTCATGTAGTATATAACCCCCAAGTTTTACATAGCTACTATCTACCTAGCCATTACACGGATTAATTAAAGTTGTTGGAACATGTCGTATGCGAAAAGATGTTTTAAAACTAAAATCAATCAACTCAAGTAAATGCTGAAAATGTTGACCTCTGACTTCCATACAATGATACAAATTTTGTTCAAACCGCTCGCAAAAGTTGACGACATTCATGAACTATTCTTTGTTACAGGTCTTTCAAAGATATTGGCCGGGTCGCATAAATTTCAAATTTTAGTTGTGAATGACCCCTTAGTAAAAAATCTAACAGGCTTAAATCTGAAGATCTGTCTGCGAATCCATGATCCTGGAAACGTATAGTCCAAACATTGACAAATCGTGCAGCATAGTGAAGAAGCGCACCATCTTGTTGGAATATTAGATGAAGTAGTAAGTATCTCCTCTAATGCTGGATGAATCGCTTCTTCTAATAATTTTAGGTACATTTCTCCTGATGAAGCTAGAAAATTGGCTATTTTAGGTCATGTTTATCAACTTTCAAGATCCCACACTGAGTACAAGAAAGTTGTCGACCGTGTCTGGTGTCGAAAGAAACAGCATTCAGGTGATATAAAAAAATTAAAAAAAAACTGCCATCCCTATAAAATACATCTTGTACATGAACTTAAAATGAAGACAATTTTGATAGACGATTGCAATTTTGTGAAACTATGATTGAACAGGCCATAATTGAGCAGCAGTTTATTTTCAATGTTCCTCTGATGAAGGCTCTTTTTTTCTTGAACGGCACGGTGAATCGTCACAACGTAACAAATTGGATGTTTGGGCTGGTATTTTTGGTAACCATATAATAGGCCCCTTTTTTCACCTAGAAATTTAATAGAAGAAAATGTACCTAGAGTTATTAGCCGATGCGATTCATCCAGAATCAGGAGGTGCTAGAGGATAATCTTCCAGCAAGAATGAGCGCCACCCCACTATGCTATGGGGTTCGTCAATATTTGGACCAAACGTTTCTAGGATAATGGATTCGAAGGAGAGTACCCCCCACGTTCTGCAGATTTAAGCCTGTTAGATTTTTCAAATAGGCTCATTTGAAAACGAGTTTAAAAACTAAAATGTGAAAATGTCAAAAAATCAGAATTCGACGGGAACAAGGGTTTTTTCTTAAATGTCTTGGGGCGCCCAAAATTACCTGTGTTTCGTTTTAAAATGGCCCTACTGTATAATAATATAAATTTTGCTTAGAACTACTAACCCTACAATTTTATCAATATTTGCTGACTGCTGACTGGGAAAAGAAGTACCGAAAATCATCAGTGTCTCATGCACTATAATGATGTGACTATTGCTCGTTTCCAAATGTCAGGAAGGACAATAATTTTTGCCAAGGCGAAGATCAATTGATTCTTTACATTTCTGAATGATATGCAATATGGTAGGTATTCCATCAGGACCAGGACTTGAGTCTGATTTAAGGCTTTCCAAACCAGTGGATTTACCTATGACCTACACTACCTACTAGCGTTGCTACCGATACAAAAAACGAGGGGAAAAAAACATCAAATATGAAAGTGGTATCCAAAACTTTTACGTTTCATGTTAGATTTTAGGAATCTATCAATTTCCAATTGTTATATCATATCAGTTTCGAACAATGTAAACAATGTAACAATTTCCAAACTATACATATTTATCACGATACAAATCCTCAAATTGTTTTTTTTCTTCATAAAATCTAACTACCTTCATCTCAAAAACGATAAAAGACAACATAGATTTGTCTTAGAATTCAACATAGAATCTAAAAATCAAATAAAATACAGGGTGTCCCATTCTTAATTTTCAAGTTGGGAGCTGTGGACCGCTCCTTGGACACCCTGTATAAATAATACAACCAACTTTGATATATTTTTTTGTACCTATAGTTACCTCTCCTGGTAGGGGGTCAAACTATAGTGAAAAACCCAGTACATCAATAGCTATTTATATAACAAGTACATAAAATAAGGCTTTTTTGTACGAATAATTTTATGGCCGAGCGAGCTTGCAAGCGCGGCTATTGAATGATGAGTTAATAAAGCCAGTTTATGTAAGCGTTATATACATGATTTTATGTACGATTGTGACTGGTTTTTATTAAAAATTGAAAAAATTTAATGAAAAAATTAAAATTCGTGTATACCTGTTTCACCTTGGCAGGTTGTCAGGTAGTCCAGGTAGGCCATAAAGTTTATTTTACAGTAAAATAAAGTGCTACTTTATTGACACACAAATGTTCTATAAATAGCACTTTATTGGTCAATCGGACATGAAAACTATTTACACCTATCCCTATCTGTTTATATGTTATAAGCGAGTTTATAAATTTCGAACATGACAATGATGTCATGAGTCATGGATGTCATGACAACTTTGGTGAGTCTGATGTGTGTTTAGTAGTCATATCATATCATTATCATCTATATGCCGATGATCTAGGTACAGGTTTATCTCCCAAGCAAGCAGTCTAGCCTTCCTGAAACCTTGGACAGAACTAATAGTGACTTGGATGCAATTTCAAGTTGGGCACAGTGTACCTAATTCTCTTTTTGTGAATCCTGTCAAGACAAAAGCCATTCTTTTTTCCAAATTAAAAATTGACAAGGATTATTTAAATGTTAGAGTTGATAATGTGATCATTAGCTGGAGTGATGAAGTGAGGAATCTTGGTTTATATATGAATGAATGTATGAGTTTTGATAATCATGTAAATAACATCTGTCGACGAGCATTTTATAGGCTTAAAATGATGTATGAATATAGGAATCGTTTGCCCACACAAACAAAAAAGATTCTCACTGACTCTATGGTTCTGTCAATACCAAATTATCTCAATTGTGTATATGGACCTTATTTAATGGCATGTAATAGATACCGAATACAAAAAATACAGAACTGTTGTGTCAGATATGTTAAATGCCTGTCTCGCAGGGAGCATGTTACCAGCATATTGTTGAAGTATATAAAACAAAAATGGATGAGAGATGTCTTATACACATGTGTAACTTAGTGCATAAGATTTTAGGTACTCGAATACCAGTATATTTATTTGACATGATTGAGCATCGTAGTGATATTCATGAGCTAAATACACGGAATCGAAATCTCATAAATATTCCAAAGCATAATACAGAGTTTTTCAAAGCAGCTTTCCCATACTGGGCCGCAAAAGCGTATAACATGCTACCTGCTGAGATTTCCCAAGTTCAAAGCAATTTGAGCTTTGGGATAAAGCTCAAAGAATATGTCTGCAATAATAATTTGTCGCTATAGAATAGTTTTACTTTTTACTGCTATGGCTGTATGTAGGTTCTAGGTTGTAAGGTTCTAAATTAGGTGAGTGTAAGCTAACAAACGCGTTCAGCGTCCTTGTACTCTCTGTGATTTATGCAACAAATAATTATTTGTTTATTTATTTATATATTCTGAGAACAATTAATGGAGTGTTTTTATTTTGTCCTTCCTTATTGAAATATATTCAGTATAAAACAGTTAAATTCCAATATTTCAGACACCCATTTTATCCAAGGCTTCCAGAATTAGAATTGATATGATATGAGGGATTGGAGGTTGACAATATTATAAGGCATGAGATGTACAAAAAATGTTGATGGTGATTGTAGCATAGTTAAATAACAATTTATGAAGCTGTTGATATTGGTGATTGTTTTTTTTTTTTGAAGACCGAAGACCCCGATATAAATGATATGATGTCAGAATTTAATGCGAGATGCAAATTAGGAAAAATATAATAGTGAAAAAGATTAGTGCTTTTAAAAAAATCTCAACTAACCCAGTCTTTTGGAGGGTGTTTTTTAATCTGTCTCCAGGTGTGTTCGATGTGAATCTGATTAATTGGGAGCTTAGCAGGATTCTGAAAATTATTAAATTTTAACAAGATTTTAAAAAGATTTTTCAAAATACCTTAAATATGTCGATGTACTGATAAATCTTATTCCCAGTAACCAAATTTTTGCTAACTTTTTCACCTTCTCTGACTTCACTACTGATCTCTAACTTTTTAAAGGAAGTCTCAATGCTCATAATTTGGATTTCTGGTTAACTTGTTTATAAAAATATAGATTATATTATCCTGAAAATATATTTGAATATTCCAGCCAGATTTTAGATTTAAGTTGTTGAGGATTATATTTTTTAGGTTAATAAGTCAAAGTTGGTAAATTACACAGAGTGGAATGAGGAGTGGGGTAAATGTCGGGTAAATTACATAGGTTTGTTCGGGGCTCATATCCGAACCAATTCCGAATTAGAACTAAACATTTTTAATTAGGAAACGAAAAGTAGGAACTCTAATTACCCAATAAATATAAACAACTGCGATTGCGATGTGAATGAATATAGGAAACCTGTATTTGTCAGGACCTTAAATAAGTACCTACCACTACCTGTGCCTACACTGCCTACTGTCCCTACTGATGAACATTTGTCGAACTAGTACTAACAGAATCAATAGAGAATGAATGAGAATCGTTTAATGGATCCAGATTAGAGGAGGCTTTTTGAACCACGAACAGAGAAACTGAGAAACTAAATTAGTCACCGTGTCGGCGAAGGACAGACCTATGATATAGCGACAATGCGATTGGAAATTTTAAATAATTTTCCTACGTGCGTGCGGAAAACGCGTTTTCACGCACCGATTACTGATTAGCGTGCGAAAAGAACAAATTTACCGCCAGGCGTGCGAGAAAAAAGATTTGCACACTATGCGGAAAAGTGGTCCGTTTTAACAAATTTTTGAAGAGAGAGAATTATCGGTCGTATCCTCGCTGAATGGTGCATGACACTGGGGTCGTATTTTCGAATATTCACGCATACGAAATTTGAAACGATTTCGAATGCTTCCTATAAAAAGATATCTGCGATTCTACGCATGCAAATGGCCAAAACAAAAAACATGCCCAGAGAAACGGCTATTTGCCTTGTTAGGGTCGGTTTCTTAATAGTTGTATTCCTTTCAAGGGTTTGAAACACTCGAGCTACTCGTTCCGGTGTTTAGTAGCCCCCGATTTACAGGGAACAGATGCGTGGTGCAACAAACACTTTTCGAAAGGAATAAGCGCGTGAAGCCCCGGAGCTGTTCCGGAGCTCCTCCTAGGTGTGAAAGGAATACAACTAATAGCGAATCACCTCCGGGTTGGTTTTGACTTCAGGGTGAACGTGTCCAGTTGCAGTGTTTACCCTGAGCCGCTTTAAGGTACAGAGTGTGAAACTCCTAGAGAACAGAGAACACTTCACACATGTCATACTCCATGAGTTTTGCACTCGAACGCTTGAAACCGAACGGGTCAAACTGTAGCCGGAGTACTTCGGAGTAACTTGGGAGCGCTCAAAGGGTGGCAGCCGAAAGCCTATCTATTTTTACCTGTATGCGCGCGCAACACGAGGCAATGCATTTTTATTGGCTTACTAATACAGGTGTGAAGTAATCCTTTTGCACGCTGGGCATCTCCTTGTTCTTATTCATTGCCCGTGGTCTGACAAGGATAAAATAATGCTTGATATTCATCTTGATATTCAACTTGACGTAGCTTGACAACTGATCGATTTTCAACTGTTTGTATTTTTGATTGACAAATACGTTGCATGTCACGCGATTTTCCTCTTTCGTTTTTTATCCCGTGCAAATAATAAGAACGGATTGCTTTACGTAAGTCTAACATAATTTGGTACGTTCTGCCTCGTCTTGCGCAATAAGCGTTCTGCGTCTTTTTCTATCTAATAAAGTTTTCGTATTATTACCTCTTTGTCTGGTAAAATAGATAGGTCTATTCTTTTCTTTCTGCAATATGCAAGAAACTTGAACAAGGGCATGCGCAGAAGTGAGTCAGCTGATTGTTTTCTGCAAGATTCTTGAAACTTGAATGCCATTGCTTACAAGCCATGAAGTTGGAAATAACGGCAACGTCGCCAATGGTGCTATTTTGCTATTGAGGTTATATGTTTCTGTGTATTGTTTTCATTGTTTATTGCTAGAGTGAGGTGCATTTTCAAACGAAAAAGTGGCTAGAAACACCAATATATTGTTTACTTACTGTTTATATTTGGTTCATACCTGCTATGCCATTATTAGTTGTGTTTTGATTGTGAATTTATAGCAAATACTGCAATCGGTACAGGAGCAAAAATTAAGGTGAGTTAAGGTAAAAGCAAATAAAAACAATATAATATTTGTTTCCACTTTGCAAAGTGCAAGAGCACATGTATAGGTCTCGATATTATTATTATCTAAGATATTTAAACTTGTTCCAGATGCCAAGAAACTGCTGTGTGCCGAGGTGCAAATCCAACTATAGGAGTTCCCTGAAGACTGAGGAACTGCAAACAACATTTTCATTTCCAAAAACTTCCGAATTACAGAAATTATGGCTAAAAGCTATACACCGAGATAATTATACGGTAACAAAAAATTCTGTAGTGTGTGCGAAACATTTTGAAAAAAATGAAATCATTAGATTTGAAACATACAAAGATGAAGAAGGAGTAAGTCGAGAACACAAACTTTTTTTTTTGAAACAACTTTATTAACAATTCGAAATATAACAATTTTTGAATATTTTTTTTTGCATCTCAAATCAGTGCTTAAATAGCTCTGGCCTCGAGATTTAAATAACTTATATTAACAGTGTTATGTTGTCTAAGTGGTGATAGTTGATACTAACGTATAATATACTTTTGATTTTTTGATTTAACATACATTTTTTTTATAGCTTTTTTTTTTAATAAATATTAAGGTAACTTTTACATTTTCTAACAAAGAGTGGATAAGAATTAGCAAACCTTATGTCATCTCCCAATTTATTAAAACATTTGGAGGCAAGTTGGACAGGATTATTTAAACCTATGTTAGTTTTGCTCTGTGTCAGATATAAACTTGACTGCGACCTTGTATCATGATTATGAATTATGCTTATGGATTGAAAATTTGTATTTGATTTTTGTAGGTTATTAAGTATTTTATATACAAGTTTGCACTGCTCAAGTTCCAATATTTTTTCTAATTTAGGTACATTCAATTCTTGATATAAATCATTCGTAGGTGTAAGATACTCATAATTAAATAAAATTTTTAGGAATTTATTTTGCATAATTTGCATTTCACTGAAGCTGGTTTTCCCACAGGTTCCCCAAATGGGTAATAGATATCTCAGGTGTGACAAGAAAAATGCAGTATATATTTGTTTTTTTGTTTTTTGAGAAATATAACTTCTACATTTATAAATTATAGGTATCATAGGATTCACTTTATTTAAAATTTTTTTAATATGTAATTGCCAATGTAGATGTTCGTCTACAATTAAACCTAAATATTTGAGAGATGATACTTTTTCTAGTTTAATATTATTAATTTTCAAATCAATATCACTTACTACTTTATTTTTTTGTGTGAGAATTATAAAATTAGTTTTATCGATGTTTACTTTTAATTTGTTAGAGTACAGCCACCTGAGATATTTATCTAGATCCTCATTAATTAGAATTTCCAATTCTTTTTCATTTTCACCTGTATACACTAATAATGTATCATCGGCAAATGTATAATACTGGGCCTTGAGGCCAGCAATTTGCAAACTTAGAACATATAATGAATAAAGCAGGGGCCCAAGGACGGAACCCTGTGGCACCCTATAATTGTTTTGTAGTGTCTCGCTACAACATTCACCCAATTTGACATACTGGCTTCGACTCTTAATGTAAGATTCCAGAATATTATAAAATTTACCCCCAAAGCCCATATAATGTAGTTTTTTCAAAAGAGTATCTATGCCGACTGTATCAAATGCCTTACGCAAATCGATGGAAACCACAACTACAATTTTTTTTTGGTCCATGGCTTTGGTCGAGAAATTTACAAAATCGAAGGTCGCAGACAACGTACTACTTTTCTGTATAAAACCATACTGGAACCGATCACTCAAAAAATTATTTTCTATGAATTGTGTCATTCTTTTTTTAATTACCTTCTCAAGAATTTTGGAGAGAACGCTAACGACAGAGATCGGTCTGTAGTTATTCATTAACTTTTTATCACCGCTCTTGAAGATGGGACACACTTTACTCGTTTTAAGCTCTCTTGGAAAAATTCCAGTAGTTAATGCCTGATTCACTAACGTTACAATGGGTTGAACTATAAAATCTTTAAGGTTAAGCAAATCCATAACCGATACCTCATCGTTACCAGGTGCCGAGTTTTTTTTCAGTTCCAATATAATTTCATGTATTTCCTCTCTATTTGTTAAATCTACATTAGAGATCACGATCACGATATCACTTAAACTTCCAATCCTCAAAAGCAACGCTGTACCACATATTTTCGAAAACCAGCCCAAATATTTAAATAGACCTGCCCCTACCATCCGAAAAAATCCTGAAGCTAGAAAAAGTGATATTGTTAAAAGACATACCGAAACTGTAGAAAATTATCTTCAAAGTGATCTGATTCCAAGCTTTGAAAATTTTGTAAAACTTCTTGAAACTAAAATAACTCTGAATAAATGGCAATGTAAAGTATCTTCGACATTTGTACATTTTTATATGTTAAATATTGATCGTGATGGATATGACTGTGATATTGAAAATTTGAAAATTGTTTCCAGTGTAAGTGTTAGCCAAGAATTAGTGGTAAGTATTTTTGTTGGAGACAATGAGATTACAAGTAGTGACCTTATGTGGATTCTACCGAGTAGTAGAAAACTCAGTAGGTGGTCCCAAATAGAAAATTTATTGACTCGATACACTTTTGTTAATGACATTTCTTTAGATTCAATTTATTGTTTTAAAAAAGCTCAGTATTATCTTCAAGAAGGTATCAAAAAACTTGATGAAGGTTGTGAATACAAAAACTTATTAGGAATATTATTGAATCAACTCTTTTTACTTGATTGTAAAAAGAAAAGATATAGCATGCCAACTATGTTGTTTTCACTTATTATTTTTTGTCAGTCATCATCTACCTATGAAAGAATGGCTCGATCAGTTTTGAAGAATAATAAATGTGATAAATGTCAAAGTTTAGTAGTTCTAGCAAAAGGCATCCAGACGGATCATACATATTTTAATTCTCTGCAGAGAGGGGGTCTCTGTATTGCCACTCAAGAAACCAAGTTTATTTATTTTCATCTTTGTGCTATCTTCGAGTATATAATTAATAACAAAGATCTTGAAAGTATGTTCCTGAAAACAAATGATCATCATAATTTATTATCGCAGCTTACTTTATTAGCTTTAGAGTCCGATACCTTTAATATTGATTTGAACAAAATTTGTGAATGTGGTGCTAACTCAAAAAAAATTTACTCCTTTGCTTCTTTGATAATGAGTAATATTATTTTAAACAACTACACAAAATTTAAAAATAGTGAATGTCATAAAAATAAAACAGATTCCAGTAAAAAAAGAAAACTAACCACTTTGAAATAGAAAAAAAATGTACCTAGGTACTAAAAATAATAATAGAGGTATGTTTTAAGGGTAGCTTTCCCGAATTCTTAGAAAGTATTTATTTTTTTAACATGATAGGTAGTTGCTAGTTGTATAGAATTGTTTGACAAGACCTTGTACATATAAAATAGATATAGGATTATAACACTTTAGAATCTAGTAATACTGCCCTCCTAAGAATAAACGCCGTA